ACATACTGGCTGTTTACTAGCTTTTTGGGCAACTGGGCTAATTAAGTTCTCTTGGCTTTCTACCCAGAAAATGAAAAATAAAGATTACCGGCCTACCTGTCAGTCTGACCCAGTTGGTGACAGAGCAAACGACAGTGTGTGCATTGGTCATGAGAAGGCTGAGTACAAATTTTTTAGTTTGTTGACCTAAGAGTACAAAATTGCCCTGAATGAGAACCATAAAATAAATCCCATCCGGTTCATGGTGTAACTGTCATGTCCAACCAATTGACCCTTATGTCCATTTATGGAATCTTCTCAAATAGTCCATTTGCTCATCATTTTTCTGTCCAAAAATGTAGGCATGGCTTAGATCAAAAGGGAAAAGGTACAGAGACTTCTGGTTCCCGTGTGACTGCTTCATGACGTCATTATGTCAGTTTTCCTACCAATGTTTCTTACCCTGACAGTCTTTGCGATACAAAATTGAATAGATGGATCGGCTTTGAATTGGCAGTAACCATTCTGGGTATCTGTTGACTGAACAATGACTAATTCTTTTTTTTATATAAACAATGACATATGCAAATAAGCTAAAATTATGTGAGGTGACTCCCATCGTATTGTTCCAACAGCTCACTGAATGACTTGCCACTTAAAGGGACAGTTGTCAGAATATAAAGCTGTCCGTGGGAAAGTGAACACTCATCTGCTTTGCTAAGAATCTAGAGAAATGATCTGAAGAATATGCTGATCATAGACTCATCAATAAAATGTTCAGTTTATGTTTGCTTACGGAGATTATGACACAGGTTTGGTTTCTGTGGTTTTGAAACAAGGTCTCACTGTATAGTCCTTGTTGACCTGGAACTGGCTATGTAAAGCAGGCTGGCCTCAATTTAGAGACCCGCCTGCCTCTGCCTCCCAGTGCTATGACTGGGTGTATACTACCACACCCAGCCCCCCACCTTTAGCACACATGAAAATTACAAAAATATACTCAAGAATGACGTTAGGAGGCAGCCATCTAAAGACTCACTAAAGACAAAGCCTCAGTGAGTGTCTTCCGTCAATGTCAATTTGAGGCTGGTCTCCAAATACAGGAACCCAGCTCACTCAACTGTTCCTTCCCGCCTGATGGTCCTTATTCTGATATTGTAAGTCTGGTCTCTAATTAATCAACCCTGTACTACCAAGAATAGGGTCACACATAGCCCTTACTATCTAAGGGTAGAAGAGATGATGTTAATTGTTAGTTTTTCATAAAGAACTTTTAAAAGGTACTTTTTCAAAATACCAAAGAACAAAAGATATATGGTCTCTTTATGGCATCTATAAAGGCCCATGACCTGTAATGTGACTTTAAACTACACATTGAAACCGTGCTTGCAGATTTTGCCTCTGCTTGTGAATTGTACTCCCTACAAACTGCTAAGATTGTCGTGCACACAATTCTGTGCTCAAGAAACACATCTGACCACTGCAAGGAAATGTCACTAAACTTTTACACGTCCCTTAGGTGATTCAAATCACCCTTTGACATCAGTATTCCCCATGACCACACAAGTTCCCAAATGAACACTTGGGTAACTGTAACAGGTAGCACAAAGGCTCATGGGTATCAGAAATCGAACCTCATAACGTTCCTTAAGATTATCTAACAAGATGGACTGGAACCTTTCAAAAAAAAAAAAAAAAAAAGCAAATACGATTCTATGATGGAAGGCTTATCTTGTTTTTTTTTTTTTTTTTAATTCCTGTTTCACAACCTAAGCAATAAAGTAAGTTAGTAAGGCAAGCTAAAACTGCAGTCAAAACACAAAATAGTAACTGGTGTTACTATTCCACAAATGGTTTGGAAAAAAAGGTATTAGCCCTCACTGCTAACAGACTTACTTACTTAGGATCCCTTCAAAAACAAAATGCAACACCTTAGCAATATTTTTCACCTAAGTATAAACTAAAGATACAACCAGAAATTATTACTACTAAGGTGGATGTCTCTGGCTTACCCAAGTCTCAAATCCTGGCTGCAAGCCTGTGACGCAGCTCAGCTGAATGTGTAATAAGCCATTTTATTCTAACAGATTTTTGAATCCGGTTACATTTCAAACACAAAAATAAATGAAGTAGATTGACAGAGTCCACATGGAAAGGTTTCACTGGGAAGACAGATGCATCTGGGCTCTGCATGCTCTGTCAGGTAATTAAATCTTTGCAGTTTCAGGTGCTGCTGATGCTTCCTAAACCACTGGCCAATTCAATCCACTAAGCTTACAAAAAACAACATCACCTGAAATCGAAAGGCACCGAGGAAGTTTCTTTGAACTTTCACATGCATAATTTGTAAAGAGGAAGAAGTCCAAAAATGTTAATAAACCACAGGGGAGAGTGAAGCAGCTTGGGTATTTAGTTCTAAAGTTGAGGCAGAGCCAGAAACCTTTAATCATTGAACATGGACATCAGGACCACTGCTTCCTTTCTTGGGATCTGAAGCTCAATCCCACAATACTCAACGCCCACACAAAACCAAAATTAATAGCCAGGTGTGGTGGCGCATGCCCTTCATCCCAGCATTTGGGAGGCAGAGGCAGACAGATCTCTTGAGTTCTAGGCCAGCCTGGTTTACATATTGAGCTCCAGGCCAGTAAAGGATACCGAGTGGGGCCTTCTTCTCAAAAAACAAAGTGACCTGTGAAGTGTGAGTTACAGTGACATAAAGGATCCTCATACGCAATTCTAACAAAGAGCCACTTTCCAGTGGCCTTTCCAGCCTGTAATTACAGAAATATCTCAAAGGTAAAGATGACACAAGGGTCAGTCACATCTAGGACAGCTTTTCCTGTAATCCATGTCAAACCAGGCTTCAAGATGCATAATTGTAAGAGGTTAAGAGACAGGAGGATCAGGAATTCCAGGTCTTCCTTGGCTACATAGCAAGTTCAAGGCCAGCCTTGAGCTACAAGACATCCTGTCTCAAAACAAAACATTTAACATGTCAAGGCTTGTAGGATCACAAAGCAAGACAGAACTTCAATGTTGGAGAAAAGGCTTAAAACTTGTAAAATAACATTGCGCAAAATTAATGTTAATCTAAACTATGAATTCATTTTAATAGTCATCTTTTCTTAAGAGGATCTCCAATGAATGGCTTTTTAAAAATTTAGGAAGTGCAACCTTTTAAACTATACCACTCTTAAAAGAAAAAAAATTAAAAAAACCTGGTATAAATGACCTGCAAATACAAAGAGCAACAGACACTCAAGTGTTTTTTTGTCGAAACAGCTAAAGCCAAACACTGGCCAGAAGCAGCAGCGAGCAGGAACTACCGAGCAGCTCCTGTGTGGCAGACACAGGCACTGCTCAATTGGGGAATGGAAGGGCAGAGCCACAGGAAGCAGCTGGGTGCTGGGTCTGAGATTTGCATGCCTCACAAGGCCAGACACCACCTGACTTCTGAAACGCGGGTTTGTTCGTGTCTTCTAATTTTTCAAGTAGCAGGAAGTCTGATAGCAACATCGAAAACAGTTCTCTCCATATTTCATTTATGATGAAGAAATTTTAGGTCCTCAGGATAGACCTGAACTATCTGGAGGGTCGTCCTGTTTGCCTTAGGTCTGAAGAGTCTGGCCGGGTTCAAAGCCTTACCAGTTAAGCAGCTCCAGAGGAGTTACCAAATGATAGACATACTGGCCAGCAACAGCAGCAGCAGCAGCAGCAGCAACAGGATGAGACCCACTTTAAACTACAATGAAGTATCGTGTTCAAATTCAACTTGATAACGAGGGGCCTTTTAGAAAAAGCACTAGATGAAATATATGTATGAAGAAAATGTCATAATGAGACCCATTATTTTGTAGAAACACAAAGAATCTGAACTCCTAGTATGGGGTGGGGGTGGGGGTGGGGGTTGGCATACATCTGTGATCCCTGCATTCTGCAGGCTGAGGCAGGAAGACCTAGATTGGTGGCCAGCCTGGGCTACACACAAGACCATCTCAGCAAACAAAATCTACATTCTCACAAATACCCTGCTAATAAGTGTATGAATATCATTTGTATCATTAAATACCTGGCATGTTTAGTGGTGTATTTCTGGGTCATTGATAAAGAAATGTCAGAATAATGTAATCTTATGATTATAACCAACAACAAAACCTTCAAATTTGTTTGGAACTACTGACTTAAGGGCATGACTGACTTTAAGCCATTTAAATTGCTTTAATTTATTCCCCATGTTAACATGTTTACAGGTATTACGGTCCCTCCCCCAACCCAGTTCATTTAACTGTAAAGCAGAACTCATATTTCTGCTTTCAATTTCCACCATGAATTTTTTTTTTAAATCCTCCACAACCCCCAAATTAGCAGCAGCAGCAGCTCATCTCTGTCCCTCAGGTATGGTTACCAACCTGCACCACACCCCTCCATTTCCCTTGCTCTGAAAACACAGGGCCTCCAGAACCCAGCGCTTCCACTGGAGAGAAGTCCATCTACATACCTGTCGTTGAGTTCCAGCTTAGGGGTTTGTCTGAAATCTTGCAGGTGATGAAAGCATAAAGCAACAGATCTCTGCGCTGCGACTTAGCCTGTCCTTTAAGACTATAGGTCACCTGCCCCAGGATTTCCTAATGGACCGAATCCACAGGGCCCAATAATTGTTTGTCAAAGGTGGGCCAGAGAGGGCCATTTCCATCTTCACTTCCCCAGAAGCAGAGGCTCGGGATCCTTTGGGCAGCGTCACTTTTGGAAGAGGGCACCTCTGTCTCATCCTCCTCTCAGGAGATTAAGCTCCTGCATGTGTCCACGTTTTTAACTTGAGTTGAAAAAACTAAAAGCCTCACAGCCTCACTCCTGTTCCTTCTGACACCTAATGGGACACATGTCACCTTCATATCCCTCACCCAGTGCGTTTCTCTGCGTGACCAGTGTGCAAGTGACATTCATGTAGCTTACAAACGTTAAGACCTCGGAGAAAAATGCCTTTGCGATGGACCTCTATAATCATGACAAGAGAGTGGTTAAAATGCCAAGATAAGAAACAATTTATTATAGAGAGAAGAAAAATTTCTCATCCAAAATATAGAAATCTGTACAACTTTGCCACAATCAATATACATGAACTGTACAAATTTACACCAGTTCATAATTTACCGAAGAAAAGATGTCTAACAAGGTTCACAAAATAGATGGTGGTTTGTGGAAAAGACTTTTACCCAAGTAAGTACAAGGAAAGTTACAAACCAGACCTCCACTTTCTAAAAATAAGAAGTTTAGTCAGTCTTAGAAAACTACAAGCTAGCAAATGTACAGAGAGCTGGCTGGTGCTAACAACCACAGTTGAGACAGTGTCTTTTTTTTTTTTTAAAGGGTCTTTTAAAAGCCTGTTGCCACGGCAGATTCTGGTCACTTGCTACTTTTCAAAGCCAAAAACACAATACAAGGTCTGACCATTTTCCCCGGGTCATGCGTACTAGGTTTGTCTTTATGTACATTTATACATTTAAGTGCTAGGAAAAAGTCTCCATGTAAGAGTTCCAGTACTACCATGCTTACAACATTGAACTTCCCTAGTGAGCTGCCAAAAAAAAGTTACGGATAACTTTCAAGTGTAATAGTGCAAATTCCCCTGCAAGGCTGACTGCAGAGGAGGAGGGTTCTTTGAAATACAGATTTTTCCTTAGAGGGACTGATGGGACAAACTGGGTCTAAGGTCTGGGAGAAACTGAAACCACCCTGTGACTTCACTCCCTAGCAAATAAAGTGATCCTTTTACTTGGACTCACAGGCTATTTAAATCACTGAAAGGTACTGTCCAAACTATGGCACTGTCACTTTAAAAAAAAAAAAAAAAAAGAATTATTACCACTCTATCTTGTGCCAGATCTTCACAGCTGTGACATGGTTTAAATTCCATAATCCATCCCCAAGAGGAGCCCACCCAAAGCAAAAAATCAAATTTATCCATCCATTATAAGATGATCCATCCATAGACTGTGTCTTAACCTGATACAGTCATCATATTGTAGTTTTTGGAAGGGCTTGTTCTGCCCAAGAGAAGTTCCTCCTTACAGCTGATCCTGCTGTCTACCATTTGCACGTTCCCGCTGGTGTTCGGAGTGCTACCTCCTGCTGGCGAGGCCTCATACAGCACACAGATGGAGCCGTCCTCTCCAATCCGGTAGGACACTTCGTAGGGGTCCACCCAGAGTGTGAGTTCGCTTGGGAGAAGCCTGAACAACTCTTGACTGCTAAGTCCAATCCGCTGGGCTGCCTGTCCAATCAGAGGGTCCATCTTATGGTTGATGCGGATGCAGCGGTAACCTGATCCCTTGCACGGCTTTTCTGGGAACCAGTGATGTTTGTAATGTTCTGTGCAGGGGAGAGAGGAGAGAAACAATGCTCAGGTCGGTAGTTATGTACACAACACTTCCCTCCTTCCTGCTAGCCCCCGAAAACGGAAAACCACCAACTTTTACACATGTCCAGGATTGCATTTTGGGATCTGGAGACAGGATGGAGAAAAGAGCACTGTGGCAAACACTGTCCCCGGACTTAGGACCAGTGGAGCCGCCAAAACAGGAATGCCGTGAGCAGCCCCGGGCTGGCCAGCTCGCCCGCTGGCAACACAGGCAACCCGGGCAGGAACCTGTTTACTTCCCCCACCCCACCAGGGTCGCACACAATAGACTTTTATGGCTTTGCAGGGAGGTGGGGTGTGTGCGGGGCTGTGCAAGACAACGCCACGGTGGTGGCCTGTGAACCCCGAAGGGGAAAAAAAAAACAAAACAACAAGAAACCCTAAACCACGATCTGGACCGGGGTGCTCAATTGTACCGGTGACCAAGCCGATGATGAATGGGGCAAGCAGCCCAGGAGGTGCGGGGACCCGGGCACGTCGGTGGGGGGGGGGGACCAGGAGCCGACGAGCCACCGGGAGGGTCTTGTCCCCCGCAACGGTCGCAGCGACGGGACGCCGGACCGACCCCCGGCTCTTTTGTATCCCCCCCGCAAGCGGCCGGCAGAGCCGTCGGGGCGCAGTTCCGCGTCGCCCCGCTCCGGATCCCTTTGTTGTGCGTGTCGCGGCTCGCACTCCCCCCCACCCCCCTCCGCCAACCCCCAGCCCCGGCCCGGCCCGGGACGCGCCCGTTGGGGTCGGCCCGCGGCGGAGCCCCGCGCCCCGCTCACCTGCCAGCAGTTCCTGCAGGCTCTGGCTGAAGGTCTGCAGCTGCCGCTCGCTCGTGAGCCCCTTGGTGCGGAGGAACTTGGAGATGAAGGACACCGCGGCGGCGATCTCGCCTATCATGGTGGCGGCCCGGGTGTAGAAGGGATGCATGGGGGCGGCGGACGAGGGGATGGGGTGGTTGGGGGTGGCCCGGGGCGGCCCGGGGCTCGGCGGAGCGGCCACCCCGGGCTCCCGCCTAGACCCGACGGCCGAGAAGGAAGCGAGGGCGCGAGGCGCGGACGGCTATGGTTCGAGGGGATTTTTTTTTTTCCTTTCTTTCTTTTTAGAGTAAAAAAAAAGTTATTCTCAAGCCAGGAGGAGGCGGCGGGAGAGAGAGAGAGAAAGAGAGATGGGGGACGAGCGATGGATGGCGGCCTGGTCACATCGCTCGCACCTCCCCAGCCGCCTCCGCCTCCAGCTCGGTAGCCTCCGAGGATCCCGAGAGTTGCATTTCCAGCTCCGAGGGGCGAAGAGCAGCCGCCGCCGTGCAGCTCATTTTATAGCGCCGCCGACAGGAAGTGGCGTAGCCGGAGCGTGACGGCCGACGACAGCCAATCCGGACATCGCACCATTGTGACGTCGGCAGGCTCGGAGCCGGAGGGGGCGGGAAGAAGGGCCGCCGGGGGGCGGGGCCGGAGGCCGGGGGAGCGAGGGGAGGAGCTGACGTCATCTGCTTGTAAACAAATAAACCCCCCTCGAGTGGCAGCCTGAGAGGCAGGAGCCTGGGGAGGGGCGGAGGAAGCGGCCGGGGGAGGTGCGTGTGAAAGCTCCGCCCCCGCGCTGGCCCCTCCCCTCCGCGCTAGCTCCGCCCCCGGCTTTGGTTCGCCCGGACCCTCCGGCCCTAGGCTTGTCCCCTCGGAGTTCGCTGTAGGTCCCGGTCCCTTGCCGGGCTCTCTAAAGCGCTGTGACCTGAGCCCAGGACCGGGGTTCGGTCTCCGCAGCCCCAACCCGGGTCCCCGGGTCCCCGCGTCCCCGTGTGTACTCCATGTTTACATCTGGTTCTGGCTCCCGCTTCGGTGGGAGGAGCGTGCGGTGGCGGAGTGTGCGGCTGCGGTGGGCGCAGCGATGGAGGGCTTGCCCGGCTCCCACCTAAGTGCTGCCTGGTCGGTGAACCCCAAGGAGCTTGCAGACACCCCGGAACCCACTGCGTCCCCGCCTGGGGGTGGGGTTTAACTGTGCAAGTTTAACGATGAAGCAGGTTAGTAAGCAAGGCCGTTGTGGCTGCTGTTTCAGGAGAGATAGGACATAGACTCAAAAGAAAAAAATAAAAAGGATAACAGGGCTTTGGAAATTTAAAAAAAAAATGTGCCTACGTATTTTAGAAATGTACACGCAACCAAATTTTTTTTTTAATTTTTACTAGTTTAAATAATGTCAGAACTTTAAGAGCTGTGCTGCTGTTAACGAAAGCAGAAGATAAAACTTGAAGCTTGTTGAGAGTTTTAAGCACAGACACCCAAATTGGCTTGAAACTCCTTGCAGAGACATTTGGAAACAGTCTGGAAAGAAGGAAAGCACGGTGCTGTTAAAACTATTAGGCCGCAAACAGGGTTAACCCTAAGAAGGAGAGGGGAGAGAAGGGGAAAAGAGATGAAGTCCAGGCAGGTAGAAGGAGAAAACAAGTAAGAGGCAGAAGTTGAACTTTTAACAGATGGAAGTAAATATCTGGAGCTTAGCTGGTCACCAACTGCAATACACACCACCTTAAAAAAAAAAAAAATGAAGCTAGCCGGTGTGGAAAAAAAGCAATGGGATGATTGGTTACTGAACAGGTTGTTTGCTTAAATAAAATCTAAAGCTTGATTTGGCTTGAAAGAGTGACCTGTACATTATTTATTTTTACTAATACACAGTACTTAAGTAGCCGCACATAAGGAACCAGCCCTCTAAAGAGAATATTGTTAAGAAGCACTAACTTATAAAAAGTATTGGTTTTCTTTGAAAATAAAGTGAATCAAAAACAATGTCTTTTTTTTTTTTCTTGAATCGTCAGGACTTCCAGAAAAACAGATGGAATAGCAGGGTTTTCACTGGGGGTGGGAGGGTGGGGGGGTGGGCAGTGAGGATTGTTTTGCCATTCCAGAAGAACCAGAGGCAGTCTTTGAACTCACATTGTGAGGTCTGCATCACCCCTAACCCACCCCTGTGCTCACCTGCTCTGTCCTTTCCCTTTTAGTTACGGTTCTTCCAGTTTGGATTGGGAATGGAGAGAACGAGATGGCCTGCCCCTTTGTGCCTATCTCCAGTTTGAACTCCTAGGGATTCGGAGTACAGGCTCTTCTACAAAACAAAAATAATGAAGCTACCAACATACTAAAATTTGAACTGAGAAATCTGCCAATCCTTGGCTCTCCCCACAGGCTTTCCTGCTTTCCCAAATACTAGCAGGGCCTCCTCACCTGAGAACTTTAAAATCAGTTCAAGGACCAGGCATAGTAGTACACAACTTTTAATCTCCCAGCTCTCTGAAGACAGAGACAGGCAGATCTTTGAGTTCGAAGCCAGCCTAAAGTTCCAGCCAACAGTGAGTTCCAGGCCAGCTACAGCTTCATAGTTGAGTCCTGGGTCTCAAAACAAAGAAGTCAATTCAAGAAGCTAAGTAAGGCTTGCCTGTCATTCCATTCTGAGGCAGGAGACCTGGGAGAAGCCTCAGTTGGTGGAATGCTTATCCAGCACACAGGAAGCCTGGGTCAGATCCCCAGCACTGCATAAACCAGGAGTAGTGGGTACATGTCTGTAATCCCAGCATTGAGGTAGTAAAGGTATGGAGATCAGAAATCCAAGGTCATGCTCAACCCAGTAGTGAGTTTCTTCGGCCCGTCTGAATATACATGAGGCCCTGAAAAACGGCCAAGGCGTTAAAAATCACAGACTTTCTGTCAAAACAAATTCAGAAAATGAACCTGGGCTTCTTTTTGGTTTTATTTTGTTTTGTTTTGTTTAATTGGCAAACATCACAAGCATCAGGCTAGCAGTGGCATTTCACAGCTGGGGAACCCTTTCTATAGTGGTGAGGATCCGACAATTAGCCAAAATCCAAAGGGCTCAGGGTTTCTGTTACCCTGACAAACGTTTTTAACCACAAAGAAAGAAAGAAAATATGTATTTGTATATCATAAGGGAATGAACTTCTCTCATCAACAGGCTCCTAATTTAGGGGCCAGCTCAGGGTTGAAAACCTTTCTCTTATGCTATAGATCTATTTTTATAATTCACAAATTACCTATCACTGTCATGGAGGGGTGTGTATGACAAGCAGGAAAGTTTACATCATCAAAATTTGGCATCATCGTTTAGCTTCGGTTCTTTTTTTTTTTTAATTGTTTGTTTTGAGATGGGAGAGGGAGTTTCACTATGCAGCCCAGGATGACCTAAAATTAGGTAAGTAGACCAGGCTGGCCTTGAACTCACAGAGATCTACCTGCTTCTGCCTCTATCTCTGAATGGGTGGGACTAAAGGGTTGGACCACCATGCCCAGAGGTGAGCCTTGGCTTCAAAGAAAACAAAGAAACCAAAAAAATTAAGAAAAATAAACAAATTTGAGCCTGGAAGGTGAGACTGGATCTCACTGTGTAGCCCAGATGGGTTTGGAATCTGTATTCTCCTGCCTCAGCCTCCAGAGTGCTGGGATTACAGGCATGGATTACTAAATGAGTAATTGTTTTGTTTTTGTTTCCCAAGACAGGTTTCTCTGTATGGCCTTGGTCATCCTGTAGTTTGCTCTGTAGACCAGGCTGGCCTCGAACTCACAGAGATCCTTCTTCCTCTGCCTCCCAAGTTCTGGGATCAAAGGCGTGCGCCACCACCACCCAACCTAAATTAGTAACTCAAAAGTGACTAAATAATCATATGTTACATATTACCATGACTGTACACTTGAAAAGTCCTGTTACTGTGGGGAAACCACATAAGTTAATGCTGTAAGCACTAACTTAGGCTGTGGTGCACACATTTTATATCTTGTCCTCACTACCTAAGGATCCTTCCTTTTCCGATTCCTTAATGCCTGTTTGTACTTCTCCCAGAAAGCGTTCCTTGCCCCTGGAGATGTTAAAAAAATATCTACACCGCTGCCCCTCCCTCCATTACTTATACAAGTTGAACCTCACTAATCTCAAAATATGAAATCTTATTCACACCAGAATCTGAGATTTGAACATGATGTCAAAGTAGACAATTCCACCTGTAAGCACGCAGCACACAACATAGTTTATTCAAAGTCCTCGAGAGATAAAGGACCTCCTGGTCCCCTTCTGACATTCCCTCCCAGCACGCATGTCCACAAAGGGTAATGAGATGCCCGTAGCCTAAGTTCTCCTCACTGCACCCTTCATGGGGCTAAGACCTGCGTGCAGAGAGAGACGGACGGTTGGAGAAACTGGGCAGCGGTATGAGGAACGTCTCACAGAAGAGCATGGCCGTGTAATGTCCATCATACGTGACTGACGCGGTCAAAAGTTCTATATTGAAAGTACAAACGAGGAAAACACATCGTAAACCAAAAGTTTCAATCCCATTGATGGAGGGCATCTCTCCAGCAGCACTGTGCAGCACTCAATGAGACAGTTTATGAAATGCCTGTTATCAGGAACCGGAAGTGAAGGGGGCTAGAGATTCAGGAGACTAGCTGCAGAAATTTAAGAAAATACACTTATTAATTTTTTATTAGTTTTTAAAATAATTTGTTTAAATTTATTTTACGTGCATTGGTGTGAAGGTGTCAGGTCTCCTGGAACTGGACTTATAGACAGTTGTGAGCTGCCATGTGGGTGCTGGGAATTGAACCCAGGTCCTCTGGAAGAGCAGCCAGTGCTCTTAACCACTGAGCCATCTCTCCAGCCCCAATGACTAATATTTTTTAAGACAGGATCTCATGTAGCTCAGAGTTTTCACAAAGTCTATGTGCGGCAACAGATGACCTTGAATTCAGGGCCTCCTGAATTCTAGACAGTCACCCTACCAACTAAGCAACATCTTCAACACCCCTGGGAAAAAAAAATTATTTTTTAAGATTTATTTTCAATTAACCTGGCGGTGGTGGTGGACAACTTTAATCCCAGGTCTCGGGAGGGAGAGGCTGGAGAATCTCTTAGCTTGAGGCCACCCTGGTTTACAGAGGGAGTTTCATGACAGCCAGGGATACACAGAGAATTCCTATCTCGAAAGACCACCCAACCCAAAATTAATTTTAATTGTGTATGTATCTCTGTGTATCTGCATGTGGGTATGCGCACATGCTCCAGTGCTTCCCCATAGCACCAGACACATTTTTAAAAGCCAAAAATTAACAAGAGAACTACCATCCCATCCCACAATCTTTCCGCTGGTTGTATAGCCATAGGAAATAAAATAATTTTCTTCACCTTGTTTATTCCCATGCTGTTCGCAATAGTCAATGAAACCAACCTAAATGTCTCCCAAGTCATCAATGGGTAAATAAGATGTGGTACTTTTGAATGGAATACTATTCACCCATAAAAAAGAATGAAATCCCTGTGATTGTGA